GACGGCCCAAGAGGGCTCCAAGACGGCACCAAGAGGGGCCCAAGAGGGCGACCAAACATGTTGAAACTCTAGCTTTCTGCCCCCAGGAGCCCCAGGGGGCCCCAAGAGTGCCCCAAGAGGCCCCCAGAGGCCCTCACGAGGCCGCCCAGACGCCCCAAGGAACCCCCAAGAAGCACCCCAGAGGCTCCGAAACGGCCCCCAAGTGGCTCCAAAACTCGCTTTTCACCCCTTCGCAGCTTCTACTACCCCCAGATTGGCATAAACAAGGGGTCGGCGGTGTGGCGTAAGCCTAAGAATAAGATGACGAGGAAGATGAGGAGGAGGAGGAAGAGGCAGGCTGAGGCAGGAGGAGCATTCCTCGATGATCTTCCTCCTCCCCCCTCCCCACCTGGGGAAACCAAACGATACCAATACCGTTCCTTTTTCCCCAGACCTCTCCTGGGGTGCGTTCTGACCAAAATTTCGAGCCGAATCCGGCCGTGGCGACGAGGGCCTCACAGGAGACCCACAAGGGCGAAAACGAGGTACGGGTAGCGGTATCGACACCTTCCCAGACTCCAGACGTCGTGATTTGTTCATGACGTGGACCCCCTGAGGCCAGAACCCACTTCCTGGGACCAGCTTGTCATCCTGAATCGTGTTTTTTGGCCAGCTCCGAGGCCGTGAGAGGGCCCCAAGAGTAGGGAGCCCACAAAGGACGTACGCGCCCAGCTATGTACATGAACACGGCCCCTCGATCCGCGAGACCGGCCGCGTTATACGAACATTTGCGCAGTGCGTGCTCTCGAAACCAGCGTGGATTCATGTACATGTACGTCCTTCATTCGCTCCTGAAAGAGGCAGAACATAGGCAAAAACCATCCGTCGCGACTTGTTCCACAATGCGAGGAAGACGGGGTCGATGCATCCCGGCCTGAGCCGATCCCCTCATACAGTCGGGGCGTTGACCTAAGGAACCCTAGATAAGGAACGAGGTCCCTTTTCTCGTAAGTTAAACTCCGATTCCCCATGAGAAACCTCAGGGAAACCCAAGGCAAACTGTGAAGCAATCGAGGAGCACCGAGCCCCTCCCCAACGATGAGGGTTCCTTCTTCAGCGCCCCGACTGTAACATTACCCTGGCTTTCGGGCTAATTATAACTCGGCTATCCGGCGGCCGCTCAGGGAGATCCAGGCACCCCTCGGAACGCTCTCGGCGAGGCGCAGCTGCTCGAACGCATGCCGAGGCTGAAAAACCGCAGGAGGCCGAGGAAAACGCTAAAAAGCCTGAAGCTCGAACCTCTCTTCCTCCACCGACTCCCCAAACGTGTCCCCTGGACCCTATGCAGTCCGGCAGGAGGAGGAGGAGGAGGACCAGGAGGAGGTGGAGGAGGAGGTGGAGGAGAAGTCGATAATCCTCCTCTTCTTCATCACCATCATCATCATCATCATCATCATCATCATCATCATCATCATCATCATCATCATCATCATCATCATCATCATCATCATCATCATCATCATCATCATCATCATCATCATCATCATCATCATCATCATCCTCATCCTCATCCTCATCCTCATCCTCATCCTCATCCTCATCTCATCCTCATCCTCTCCTCCTCCTCTCCTCTCCTCCTCCTCCCCTCCCTCCTCCTCCTTCCCCCCCTCCCCCTCCTCCTCCTCCCCCTCCTCCTCCTCCTCCCCTCCTCCCTCCTCCTCCTCCCTCCTCCTCCTCCTCCTCCCTCTCCTCCTTCCCCCCTCCCCCTCCTCCTCCTCCTCCTCCTCCTCCTCCTCCTCCTCCTCCTCCTTCCCCCTTCCCCCTTCCCCCCTCCTCCGAGCCTCCCTCGCCTCGCAGTCCTCGATGATCCTCTGGAGCTCCGCGGCCCGGGCCGACGGGCACGCCGCCGACGCGGCGCTGGCCCTGCTGCGCGACGGGAGCTCGCGCGGGCTCCTCCCGGGGCGCGTCGGGCCGAGGCCACACCGGCGCCGAACTCGCGCAGAACAAGGCTTACAGTCGGGGCGTTGGCCTAAGGAACCCAAAAGAAGGAACGAGGCCCCCTTTTTTCCATAAGTTAACCTTCGAATTTCCTGTCGGAAACCTAAGGAAAACCTGAGGCAGGCTGTGAAACACTTGAGGAACGCGGAGCCCCTCCCCAACGAGAAGGGTTCCTTCTTCAGGGCCCCGACTGCAGGAGGCCACGAACGCCGCTTTCCTGCAGCTGGGACGTCCACGAGACACCCCCACCCAGGCACCGAAACCTACATCGCTGTTACCTACATTGCCGTTAGCGTGTCCACGCGTCAGGGGAGGAAGTCTGGAGCCCATGATTTAATCATTCGCGATGGCACCCGCGTGATGGAAAACCGGTCTTGGGGAATCTGGGGGTCGACGTAATGAAAAAAACATGACGTCGGGGGTCTGGATGGGAGGGAGGGAGGGACGGAGGGAGAGAGCCCCAATCTTCAAGGTTTGTTCAGTCCTGGCGTTTTCATCTGTTTCAGCCTCCTGGGCTCGATCCAAATCGGATCCAGGACAAAAGAAATGCGAGGAGGGAAACAGAGGGAGGGAAGGGGAGGGAGGGCGAGAAGAGACTCCTCCGGACCGGCGGGGACTCCGCACAAGCCCGCGCCCCCGCGCCCTCCTCGCAGACGTCGGACTCCTTCAGGAGAGCGTACGTCGATCGACCCAGAGATCCGATGCACTGAGTGGTTCAATACAGGGCCCCCAGAAGCCCCGCCCTGACTCCCAATCCGCCCCACTTTGGCTTTTCTCCAACTTGAAATTGCGTCGGGAATCCACCTGTAAGAAGCCGAGCAAGTAGGGCGGAAAGTTCTGCACCCAACATTAAGTAGGGCGGAAATCCACAGAAGTAGGGCGGAAACAGCAACAGAAAAGCAGGGCGGAAACTGGCATCAGCGGGGCTTGAAAAGCAAGGCGGAAATTCCAAGCCCCACTTACGAATTTCCCCAAAGTAGGGCGGATCCGGAGTCAGGGCGAGGCAGGACAACACCGCCGGCGACAGCGCCCCTGAAACCCAGAGATCCTACGTTGTGTTTTTTTTCAATACGGGGTCCCCAGAAGTCTCGACCCATTCCCCGGGACCGGTTTCTCATCCGGAGTCGTTTTTTGACGGTCCTGGGGCCCGGCGAGGGCCCCTCGAGGCCGAAGTATACGAAAAACCTCCGTCTTGATCTTCTTAATGCGCTGGATCTCTGGGAACGTGGCCCCTGACTGGGCTCCCGCGGCGACCCCCGAAGCGAGTTGGCATCGGGGCTCCACGCCAGCGGGACTCGGCCAGAGCGCCGCATCCTGCAGGGCCCCGCAGGGCCCGCTCTGGGCCGCGCCAGTTCGGGGAGCCGCCCGCTGCCCAGGAGGAGGAGGAGGAGGAGGAGGGAGGAGGAGGAGGAGGAGGAGGAGGAGGAGGAGGAGGAGGAGGAGGAGAGGAGGAGGAGGAGGAGGAGGAGTTGGAGGGGAGGAGGAGGAGAGAGGAGGAGGAGGAGGAGGAGGAGGAGGAGGAGGAGGAGGAGAGGAGGAGGAGGAGGAGGAGGAGGAGGAGGAGGAGGAGGAGGAGGAGGAGGAGGAGGAGGAGAGGAGGGGAGGAGGAGGAGGAGAGGAGTTGGAGGAGGAGGAGGAGGAGGAGGAGGAGGAGGAGGTGGGGAGGAGGAGGAGGGGGGGAGGAGGAGGAGGAGGAGGAGGATGAGGAGGAGGAGGAGGAGGAGAAGGAGGAGGAGGAGGGGGATGAGGAGGAGGAGTTGGAGGACGAGGAGGAGGAGGAGGAGGTAGAGCTGACGCTCTGGGCTCTGCGCGCCCCCGACTGCCTGCGCCGGGGGCGCGCAAAAACATGGATTCACGGTCCCGTGGATTCGGCGCGCAGTCGCCTGATCCATGGATCGGGGCAGGTGCCCTCCCCAGAAGGCGGCCGGTGCCGCCTCGCTCGGCGGCGGAAAGCCGCGATCTCCCACGGAAACGGGGCCCATCGCCATGCCACGCCCCCTTGATCCCATGTTTCGGCTATGCGCAAGAGTGACCCTGGGTAGGAGTGACCTTTGGCGCGCGGCTTTTGGGGGGCGCGGGGGGGCCAAATCCAGGCGCGCTAGCCGCTGCTACCGCTTCGCGTTCAGCCATCTGGGGGCCCATCTGTGCCCGCACCAAAGGTCACTCCGGCGAAAGGTGACTCTTAGTTACGTCGAGTCGAATGGTTGCTATCCTCCTCCTCCTCCTCCTCCTCCTCCTCCTCCTCCTCCTCCAACCCTCCTCCTCCCCTCCTCCTCTCCTCCTCCTCTCCTCCTCCTCCTCCTCCTCCTCCTCCCTCCTCTCCTCCTCCTCCTCCCTCCTCCTCCTCCTCCTCCTCCTCCTCCTCCTCCTCCTCCTCCTCCTCCTCCTCCAATTCCGTTCCTCCTCCTCCTCCTGCCTGAATGTGGGCTGAGCCGGCCTGAGAAGCTCCCCCCGAAGATGGCGGCGCAGAGCTCTCTACACGCTGGCTGCGCGGAGCCGGGCCAGTCCACGCCCGACCCGCTCCCGAGGTTCTCGGCCGGGGCCGGCCGGGTCCGGGCAGCGGCCCCCCGCCGGGGCCAGAAAATGCACTCGACCAGGACGGGAAGGATGCGCGGTAGGGACGCAAAGGCCTTGGAACGCCACGTTGACGTTTTCCGTGCGGGGCGCCGCATTGACGCCGGAGGATGCCGAATGCCGCAGGGGCAAGGATGCAGGGCTTCTCAGAAGCACCCCTGCTTCGTCGAAGGCGCGGGCCCCGTCTGCAGGTGCAAGGCCAGCACCCTCCACAGCAGCAGCCTCCTCCGAAGAGGCCCTCCCCCCTCCCGCCCTGTGCGGGCCGCCACCCGGGGCCGTCAGTGCGCCGGAAGTCTGGGGATGTCGCCTCGCGCCCAGCGCGCATGTAGGGCGGGGTCCTGTCCAGCATGGCTGGGCGGGGGGCCGGCGGCGCAGTGGCGCCGGAAGGTGCCCGCCGCCGCGCGCGCCGCGCCCGCCGCGCGGTCGCCTCGAGCCCCGCGCACGGCGAG